TGATGGTTAGTGTCAACTTACCACTGATGGTTTTATGTAATGTATCATTGATGTTAAATTCTTTTCAAACATTGATGGTAATTCAAATTAACAATAATGTTTGTTAGTCTTTTAACATTCAGGTTATTTTAATGTTCTATTATTGGGATATTGCCTCTTCCCATGAAGAAAAACCCATCAATGTTTATTGCCATTTTAATTCAATACATGGTAGGAATCAAATTACTATGAATGGTAATTTATCAACCATTATTGGGAAATAGCTTAACCATAGATGGTAATTCAAATAATAACATCATCTTTTATTGTTTTAACATTCAGGTTATTTTAATAGTGTTATTGAGAAATTGCTACTTCCCATGAAGGAAAACCCATGGTAGGAATCAAATTGCCATAAATGGTAATTTATAAACCTTCATTGGGAATTAATAGCTTAACATTAATGGTAATTCAAATAACAATGTTTTTTACTGTTTTATGTTCAGATTATTTTAATGTACTAGCTGTCATTGGGAAATTGTCATTTCCCATGATGAAGGAAAACCCATCAATGTTTATTTATATTGTTGTTAACATGAATGATTGGAATAAAATTATTATTTTGAAAGGTAATGTAAAAACCGTTATTGAGAATTAGCAATCTCCATTCTCACTTGTGATATTTTAGTTCCCATCAAAAGAAATTTGAAAACATCCAAGTGGATTTGTGGTTAGTTAATTAATTTCTTAATAATCCACTGCACTGAATTTTTTTTTGATATAGTTATCATGGAAAATCGCCAATTCCGCAAAGCTAAGGTTACACTTCTAACAGTTCACCATTAAAACCAACCATAATCATCCAAGGCTATAAACTTTCAACTTTTAATGTTACATTAACAAAAGATACATGTGTACAATAATCAGTTCTGCTACTGTGGTACAAGTAACAAAAGTCGTGACAATATCATCTTTATGTTAAGAAAATTAACCAAAAACCCTAAAACATCTTTGGGCATTTGTAGCTTATAATATTTTATAATAATAAAGCTGCGAGACAATAGAAGAAGGTGCAATAAAATGTTGTGTTTCCGAGTTTCTTCCATTGTTTGTGATGAGCACACAACAAAAGGTTGTTAATTTTCAGTTGAATCAACTTAACATTCACAATATATTTTGTGATGTGCACATCACAAACAATGGAAGAAACTCAGAAACACGACATTTTATTGCACCTTAATTGTTTCATTGCCCAGCACACTTATTATAAAATTATTATTACAAGCTACAAATGCCCAGGTTGCACAAAATGGAAAACAACAAACTTTTTTAATTTTGTATTGTAGTTAGATGGAATTAAACCACACTTGAATGCAGTTAAAATGGCTTCAGCTTTTGTATGTCACGCCTTGAAGCATTTTTTGGGTTCCCTCTGATTCTGACATAATTCTTTTTTACAAGGGCTTCTGCAACCACTTTTACCAAACCGTTCTTCTCTTTTGGTGCATTTTTTATGCCCATTGCTTTGGCTGATGAAACTAGCTGATTTCTTTGTACATCTGCCAGTCGGATTGCATTATATGCAACGCATATAATAAGTTTAGCTGTGTCATCTGGGAAAGCTGGGAAATAAATAGAAAATTCAGTTGCGGCCTCTTCTCAATCCCCTGACAATACTTGTGTGCACAAAAGACAAAAGGTTTCAAACTTCTAAAAATAATATCATATAAACCTTCTTCAGCATCAGGTTCTGATTCCATGACTTCATCTGTATTGCCTGATTCAGAGGCACAGCTCTTTTCAACACTACTGCTGTTTACAATTGCAGTTTGTGAATCTTTAGCTTGTAAACAATGACCTGTGGAGACAAACAGAAACTTTGTTAGTACTCTGTTAAGAGGTATTGGAAAGCCCAGGAACTAAACTGCAGACAGCACCTGTTAGAAGAAATTTTTTTAATTTCTGGGAATTGTGACTGACAATAACAAGAATTTTAAACAATGAAAAACATTGATGAGAATGCCTAAAAGTCAACCATGATCCCCTGGTTTGAAAAATGTTAAACCAAAGAAAAATTTGCACCACAACAGATACATTGCAGATTTATCAAATAAAATATGCTCAAACATACCCGTCTTTTCCTCCTCTGATTCTTCCACAATTTCCGTATCCCCAGATTCATCCTCAGTGGAATCAGAGAGACTATCACTAGAAGGACTTGCAGAACTGTTATTTTCAGCAGTACTAGTGCGTTCAGAACTCGGTGTTTTACGCTTCAGCGATCGCTTATCGGCCTGCAATTTCAAAAAAGTGGTCATTGTAGTGACTGCCTTAATTTGCTAACTTCTACAGCACGGTTGTCACTACTGGATTTCATACTGTCGGGGGCTATATATCACAAAACAGTTAATAAGTCTACCCAGATGTGCACGCAATCAAACTGGGAAAGTAACACTGACTTTCTTTGCACCCTGGTATTTACAAATATTTTCCAATTTCCCTGTATCAAATGTTGACCTAAACGGGTTAAAACTTTAGCCCAAAGAAATGTTAAGATTGTCTTATTTGGCACAAGCCTCTAATGACACCAAACAAATTATTTGTCTACAACTAGCACCCTGTTTTACTCTTAGTGAGCCAGTGCTATTGTGCATTAGGTGTTAGCTAGTACGCGCTTAAAAGAGAAATCAAGTCATTTTAATTATTGTAATATAAGTTATTGTCAAATATTTTTTAGCTTAGTTGTCTCCCCACTTAGCATCCTGATTCACAGGAAGCTAGATTTTCTTTGACACATCACTATAAAGTTTCTATTCTATTCTCCTTCCTTAACTGTTTGGGGGGTCTTGATGAAATGTGATAGATAAATGGTTGAGCTTACTTTAGAGTAATCATGGCCATTCCTTTGGTGTCTTCGTCTTTCATTCAATACATCCAAAATGTGTTGTTTGATACCATCTCTCCCAAAGTTCAAAGGCGGAAAAGAGCATTCAGCCACAAGCTCTTCCACTAACTGATTTAACTCTGCTACAGCTGTCTTTTTGGTTTTGAATTTGGGGATGTTGTTCCCTGGCCATCGTTTGATTGCTGCCGCTCTCATCGCTTTTCTCCTATTAAGGGAAAGATTCAACAGTTGTTGAAACTTTCAATAAATTGACAAAAATCCAAATTGTTTAAGAAAGAAGTATCGTTTCAGCTATCATTTCCGAAATGATCGGCCCGCAAAACTTGGGGCTTACAAATAAAAAGCAGAAATGAAATAATGCAGGAAGTATATTTGTAAAAAAAATTTACACCATGTTTACAACCTAGAATAATAACGTTCTCAAATTCAAGCCAGTGTTCATGTGTTGATGATGAAAAGCTAAACAACGCAAAATTTGAAATACAAACTCTGGAGTCGTGTTCGAGAAATTTAAGTTACATGCATGGAAAGCTTAATTGCCAGCTTATGTCACTCACTTGGTCTTGTAAATTCTTCTATTCATATCGCTAATTTGATTCAGCTGGGCCTTCGAAGGCTTTTTTGCCTTAACTACGGTGATCACGATACTCGACGCTTCATCTATATCAGCGCTTGCGTTGACCAGCGTGGTTAGTTTAAGTTGGTCCCCCACTGTCATCAGCCTGCAGGCTTCGTACTGTTCTCTTGTTGCTTTCTTTGATAGCAATAATAAGGATTTGCCGTCAATTTTTGCGCTGTTTGCAGAAAAAAGAATAAGAAGAGGAAATTATTGTACATAGTACAGGTAAACTTAAACTTTTTTCAATAACAAAACACACCAACTATGAACCGAACGGGAAGGAACGAATCGAATGTTGATCGATCTAAGATCGCGGCCGCCATCTTTGAATTGGCATATGAACGATTTCTAGCCCTTCTAACAGACTATAGAAAAGTTGCAAAGATAACTAAAGTAACGTTAAATTAAATCTTAATAACTTAACAGCACTTAATATCTTATCTTTATTCAAAAATGAAGTTTCTTTCTTTCGCGCCAAAACTTTCAGTGAATGACCAGTTTTCCCCCAAGGCAGAGCGATAAAAACTCGATCACGTTTAATATGAGTTGATTCAAAGTGCACAATAATGAACCCAAAGCTGAATTGAAAAGTTTCAGGCCTTTTTTCAAATACTAGTAGGTTATCGGAAAGAAAAAACGGAACCATGATACGCAGCGTAAAATGGCGCGAAAAACACAATGCGACACAAGCTTACCTTCAAACTTCTCGGCAATTTCTAATTGGAATTCTTTCGCAATAAAATCCTTCACTTCTTGGATATTCATTTCTTGTACGGAACTGGACGTTTCATTTTCACCCATGGTTGTCAATAAACAACAAACGAAGAATAAAGAAGACCAATTCAAAACCGTCACGTCCTCACTTGCACAATTCATGGGTGGAATGAACAACGCCGGGATCAAACACGGGATCTTCACCGTCATTCCGCAACCTGATTGGTTGAAAAAAAAAAAGCTGGGGTGTGATTGGTGCAGGTTATCTTCGCGCGGGAAATTTGGCGTTTTCGATTGACGTTTCCTTTGGAGGGCTTTTTGAAATTATGGTGAAGGATCGGCATCGGCAGGATATCTTCGCGCGGGAAATTCGGCGTTACTGATCTTTGTTTTTTACCCGTCGTGAGCCAGCTGCCCGATATTATGGAAACTAAAAGACGAAGATTTGAACCTTATGTTTGGTCAAGAGATGATATTGTCTGCTGTAACTGTTCACAGTTAAAATCTAGACACGTACATTGCCCTTGTTCCAGCTGCAATGGTGCTGCAGTTGCACGTTCCCTGGAATATTCTCATTGGCAACAACAACAAGCCATTGCTGATCTTGGGCTACCCAGGTAATCACAAAAATATAGGCTCATCATTTTAACATGTATACATGACTGCTTTTGATATACAAATAAATGGGCAATATCCACAATCATTTGTATTCTCTTGAGGCTGCACCTGATCACAAGTATTCCTTTGTTTCAAACAGAAATGAAGAACCCAGTGATTCACACAACGACTCAGGCATTGATGAATTTTCATCCCCTTTGTCTACTGGGGACAACGTCACCATTACTGTGCACGTGGATGATGTCTATGACTACAATTCTAGTGCCCTACCAGGCAACCAGATTTGTCCAAGGCCAGTTTCTTCCTAGTAAGCTTGATGAAAATGGAAACATTGTGATATTTTCTGAAACTGGTTTTCCTATTCTATGCAAAGATAGCCTCCCTAAAATGGTTATTCAACCCGTAACATGTATTTTGAGAAAGGTTATGGTTGTTTCCAATCCTTTTGAGCCCCAAGAGTCAGTTGTTATTGACTTTATGAGGAAGAGTATGCCATTGTCTGAGCACGATATTGTCGTTCCATTTTACCCTGAGCGAGGAGATATGGTTTTGATCAATGGAACTGATCCTGAGCCATGGCTTGGAGAAGTAATGACTGTGGATGTAACTAATCAACTTGCTAAGGTCCGATATTACATCAGAAATGGGGAAAGAGAAGTTGGCTCCATTCTTGTTGATGTATTTGTCTCTGAGAGAAATGCCTGTTTAGACCAAGTATCCTGGAATGCAATTGTGTGTGTGGCAATTGAAGAATGGAATGGGAACACTTGGGAAATGATGCCTTTTATGTAGATAGCATGTGCTCAATAACTGTCAATAACTGTCAGCTTAACAACAAAATACTTTACCTGCAGTAACACCATAATGACAGATGTAATTAATCCCCTCTAAGGAATACCAGTACTAGAATTTTGCATTAAAAATGTTAATTTATGATACCAAAATGTAGTCATTACCTCTTTTATTGGAATTGCTGGATTTGTTGATGTACTGTTCCATCAGTGGCTAAAGCATTTAGTTGGATGGGTAAAATACCAATATTGTTGGGAAATGGTTTATACCAAGAATGGTTTTGGGAGAAAGAATCTCAAAATATAAGCATGGTCTTTGGAATTCACATGAATGCTTTTAAAGTTTGACACAAACCATTTATGTTTTAATCCTTACATTAATGGTTTTTCAACTCGTGGAGACAAACCATTAATGGTTTAAAGTATCATTAACATTTGCGTTCTTTTCTAATAACATCAATGGTTTGTACTGATGTATTATCCCATAAATGTTTAATGGTGTTTACATAAATGGGTAACATATAAACATTGTTGGGAATTGATTACACCAAGAACTGTTTTGCAAAAATAAAAAAAACACATTCATGGTATTTTAAAACCACAATAATGATGTATTATCCCATTAGTGTTTAAAGATATTTACATAGATGGGTAACATATAAACATTATTAGGAATTGATTACACCAAGAATGGTTTCATAAATTACACATTAATGGTATTTTAAACCCACAACAATGGTTTTATTCTGTATAAAATACCATTCATGGCTATTACTGTAAACCCATCCATGACTTCTGGACTGTTTATGTTAATTGTTAAAAAAAACATTCATAAATTCCAAATAACATTAATGTTTTTCCACTTAAAAAAATTAATTCCCTATAAAAACCATTAATGGTTTTTAACAATGAGTGGGAATTTCAAAAAAACCTTTGATGTTTTTTTGCAATTTTTTCCTGTGACAATTGGATCACATAAGCTTGATACAGGTTCATTGAGCCCAACATCTCAAGTGAGCTTGATTGATTACCTATCTCAGGAAACTGTACTCAATTTGTTGAAACCGAACTCAAATCAATTTGTACTTGGTCTTCATTTACTGTGCATGACAAGTAATATTGCTTGTCTAAATAACCGATCTTGCCATCAAAATCGGTAATTTTGAGGACTGCAAATTTTCCAGGGGGAGTGGTTAAAATGTTATCATGCTCGATAGGCCACAAACAATTTCGTTATACATGGAGTGACTAAAATGTACATCATTTATAGTGAAATAATAAGAGACCTAGGTGCATCAATAGTGTCAGTGAGTTTTTACAAAGGATATAGAATTTTGTTTTTGCACATCACAAAAATCGAATTAATAAACTGCTGTGGTGGCACATCGTTTTGGTATACCTCGTGCAAATCTGTATTAAAAACATTTCTTTGTTAAAACCTTGTTTGATGTCTTTCAAACAATTGCTTCAAAAAGATAGCTGTGTGGGCGATGGTTGGTGCTATTCTTTCAGGGTCATCTTCAGACAGAGGCACATGTCTGTGAACATGCAGTACACCATCTATTTGGCTGCAGAAAAACTTTGGCCATGAGTAAAGGAATGTAATCACAATCTTTATCTACTTTTATGATGCACATGTTCCACTCTTTTGTGCATTGGTTGTATTTGTCATTATCTTGCATCTCCTCCTTTAGATCCCACAGCAACCATTCTATCAAGTTGATAGTTCCAATCAATAGCTGCAAGTTGTTTTCTTGTAAAATCTGTACTTGTTATGGATTTAGAGGATATAACTGATACATGGTCACATGGAGATACAAATTTTCTGTTCACATCTTAAAATATTTTTTGATATGATGAGAGAAATTTAGTTTCTCCAAGTGGGCATGTAATGTTTTGTACATCATAAACATCTCAATGAACAATCAGATGTAGCACAATAATATTGTAGGAAAGACACAAAATTCACATCAATATGTATATAATAAAATATAATCATATACACCGAATGCAAATATGGCGGACCACTCGGGTGGACCGGACCGAGCTACGCGAAGTCAAGGCTAGTTAGGCCTCGATGTGTTTTGTTTTGACAATGCGTCAGTAGAAACTTGCAAACATCTATCGTATTTTTCACTATGCCCACTCATTGCTGTGTCCCTGAATGTAACCAAAAAGGTGTAAAATCGCCAACGGGAGAGAAAGTATCTTTTTTTGAATTTCTAAATCAATCTTTACTGAGAAAGAGGTGGATTCACGCGATCCGACGAGACGAAGGAAAGAACTGGCAGATCACTCGAGACACGAAAGTTTGCTCTTTGCATTTTAGACGAGAAGATCTTAGAAAGTCGCTCGCTGGACGAACTTATCTTGTGGATGGATTTGTACCGTCAAGATTTGCTTGGTCTATTCCATCCCCAAGGAAAAGAAAAGCACCAACTGAAAGGCTGCCTTTGCCAATTCCCTTGTCTTCGAAGAAGCGGTTGTTTACATCCGACACTTCTTCTGAAATCAACATCGCGTCTTCAGCTGTTGAAAGTGCAAATGAAATATTTCCCAGTACAAGTGGAGGCAACGAAACAAATGAGCCCGATATTAGCGTCGAGAGTAATGTGGAAATGGATCAAGGAAAGAAAGTCGAGGATCTTGAGGCTAGACTTTTGCAATCTGAAAAGGAGGTTGCGGTCCTTCGAAAGAAGAACGAGGAACTGGAAAGAAAGATTATCGAAAATGAACAGCACCAGGAGACACTATCTTCCCGTTTATTTTCTCTTAGACTTTTACAATCTGAAAAGGAGCTTGCGGTCCTTCGAAAGAAGAACGAGGAACTGGAAAGAAAGATTATCGAAAACGAACAGCACCAGGAGACACTATCTTCCCGTTTATTTTCTCTTGATCGCTTCAAGTCCAATACGGATGTTAATTTTTATACTGGCCTTCCTAATTATGCTACTCTCATAAGTATTTTTGAATTTTTGAATCCTGGTGAGGATTGTGAAAACATTCGCTCCAGGATCAGCTCAGACGTTCCTGAGGAGTTTTACAACTCTGAATCTGACGACGAGGAAGATACATCGTCAACCAAGAGAGGACGCCGCCGAAAACTTAAGCCTTTAGAGGAATTTTTTATTGTTCTGTGTCGCTTAAGGAGAGGATTTTCTGAGCGACTTCTAGCTAACTTATATGGTGTGGCACAATCAACAGTGAGCAGAAGTTTTATCCAATGGATTAATTTCATGTACTTGAAGTTTGGACAAATCTGCATTTGGCCGTCTAAAGCTGTTGTACAACAAACCATGCCTCTTGATTTTAAGGAGAAATTTCCCACTACAAGAGTCATAATAGACTGTACAGAAGTGTTTTGTGAAATGCCAAGTAGTCTACTTTTAAATTCAGAACTATTTAGCTCCTACAAAAATCATGTGACATTAAAAGGACTAGTTGGAATTTCTCCAAGTGGTGCCATCACTTTTGTGAGCCAATTATACAGTGGCAGTATTTCTGACAGGGAAATTGTTGTGCGAAGTGGGCTACTGTCACAAGCATTTGATGATGGTGACTCGGCCATGGCTGACAAAGGATTTCAGATTCAAGATATTTTGCCCTTGGGTGTTACCCTTAACATCCCACCATTTCTCGGAGGAGACAGCCAAATGTCAGCGGAGGATGTAGTACGGACACAGCAAATTGCAAGTCTAAGGATTCATGTGGAAAGGGCAATAAACAAGATTAAGAACTTCCGTATCTGGCAGAGAGTTGTACCATTAAGTTTATTCGGAGTCGTTAACCAGATGTGGAGTGTGTGTGCTTTTATGTGCAATATTCACGATCCACTTATTTCTGGATAAGTATGACAAAATTAATATTTTTGTCCTTGATTCACATTGTAATTTAACGTAGAAAGCCACAAAAACTGACTGCACTAATGAGTCGCCATCTCAAGTTTCCTTAAGGTGTAAACAAATTATTGTACAATGAACATTTACCATTAGCTTATTTACATGTATATGTTAAAACAAACTAAAAGTTTGTGCAACTATCTAAACTTTTTTAATATTAAGAAATTTGGAAAATTATATCCATATTTAGACTGAAACAGTATTATACTTATGAAATATTGTTATTTTTTCATCATCTGTTTGACTTTTTTGACTTGAAAAATAATAATATTACCACTAGTGGTGCTTTTTTCTGTAATGGTCTGAAGCAGTCTGCAACACAATCAGAAGCTCTCATTAAATGGATTGTATACCAGACATCACATAAAATTTCCTCCATTTTTATGATTGCAGACAGAACATATTTGTACAGTGTGTATGACTTGAATTTGGCTTAAACACAGTAAAGCAGTCTGGTACCAGGTGATTGTGTCTCAGAATGTTACAAACCCTAAAATAGAAGCTAGGCATAACTAGTACATAGACACTATATGAAACAGTGACATTAACTTTCAATTTTAACAAGTGATAGTTATTTTGCTCATTTCACATGCTGCAGTGTAGGTTAAATTAAGGTTCCCTTGCTGCTAAAGCTAAAAAGTGTTTGAAATAATACATTTTTAGTGTTCCTTTTAACTCATTCCAAAACTGAGGATCAAATGGAATGCGCTCAATACTCATTCCCTTGCTGGTATATACAACAAAATCGCACCACTTGGCACCAGTTACTCCCATCAGTCCCTGGACTTGAGAGTAGTATTTGTGTGTCCTCTTAAGCTTTGGCTTTCCATCAACTTCTTCCATGAAAAAATTACTATCAGAACAGGCATCCAAGGGAGTAACCAGATATTTTGTCTCTGGGTACTTGACTTCAGAAAGCCCAAAGTGATCATCGCATCCTGGATCAATTACCTTAGCATCAGGTGAAGCACCCAAGTAGGGGGAATCTAGGCTGATAACAAGTCCTGACTTAAGTATCTTAACAGGCCTTCGACATTGACATCATGTACTTCTGGTACTGCTCAAGGGCGACTGGCTCATATTTGAGGCCATGATTTGTATACCTCGAAGAAAAAGGTTTGGGGTTAAGTAGATTTTTTACTAGGGTCTCATGGTTTTGTTTCCTTTCCCTGATAAGGTCAAAATTTGAGGCAGTAAACCTAAATTTTCTTTCATCCTTCCATTCTTGGCAAGTTGACTGTTCCCGTGTTTTCCTTTCAATTTCATTTAGCTCATCAACATCTACTTGTATTTTTTGTAGTAAGCATCTCTCATCTCCAGAAATCTCAGTCGGTATTTGAAACTGTTCATGTGAAGCCCTCAGGGGAAATCTGGGAAACGCAGTTAACTGAGAATCATGAACATGATTGTCTGAATCTGACCTGTTGACAGATGAAATGTCACAAAACACTTTAAAGTTATCTTCAGTAACAGATAGTTGGTAACTGGCAAAGGATCCTTGAGGACTTTTTCCAAATTTTGTCGGGACGAGTGTAGTTGACTCAGTTCTTGCAGTCATAATTTGTGATAAAGCCATTTTAGGGTTAAGCTCTCTTAACCGTTCCAATAATTTTGTTTCAGATGCCTGCTGACCCTTAAGGCTATTTCGGGCCTCATACAAAAGACATTTCACACCAGAGTCTCTAGATGATGATTGTTTGTCTAACTCTAAGCTTGTTTTGGTCACCAACACTTCCATCACTGGTTGTGGATTTATACAGTCTCCTCTTCCCTTGCGATGCTACTGCTGCAGAGTTGATGTGCAGCTCCGTTTTGGCTGCATATCGTCTTCATTTTCAAGATCAGTCACACTTTTACACTCATACAATGAAAACTTGCATAATTTTAACAAAAGAGCCAAAATATGGTTGCAAAACCCGACCTGGCCAGCAACACAAGAGCAAGAGGCATTCTTGACCTCTCCACTAAAAATACACAATGCAACTTTTAAGTTGTGGGGAGGATCATTTTTTCTAAAGCTGTGATGGCACTGACAGCGCAAATAGAAATAAGTATTATCGCTTGCTGCTGACAAGTTTTTTAAAAAATATTCGTCATTCAAAAACGTTGTAGCTTTTCGCACACTAGTCGGTACTGAGTGACTTTTGCTTGAATCAATGTTTTTCCCTGACTTTGCGATATGATTGTTCATCTCGGCACGCGTGAAAAAAGGCATTCGTTTTATATTGCCAGACCAGCCATCCGAAGGGTAGTTTGGTTGCGGTGAATTAACATCAGCTGAAATGTTGTCTTCACTCGCCGTTCGGTGTTCTTTGCGCTTTGTGTACACTTTGTGAGGATCAGGATCAACTATATTTTGGTCTCGGCCAGTTCTGATATACTCTTCCACCCTTTAAAAGCGAAAAGAAAACTACTTTTAGCTCGTAAAATCCGATTTTTCACATGTATAGGTGTAATATTTTGACAAGTCATAGCGAAACACGAAGCGATCTTGGGCCTTACCTCTTCACTAGCGCTGCCTTTGTTTTCAATCCCTTCAAAGAATCGCCTCTACATCTCAGCCAAAAAAAAAAATCTTCGCATTTTAATGCCTGGGGCTCTCTTCCAGCGAGAGAAGCTCCCGGGATATCGTCCTGGGTTAGCACACGTGCAGCCATTCGTGACAACCAAAACATCAGGGAAAAACCTTGGCCTAACTAGCCTCGACTTCGCGCAACTCGGCCCGGTCCGCCCGAGTGGTCCGCCATATTTGCATTCGGTGTATATCAAGGAAAGGAGTATGATGAGAGTGAACCTTGATAATGATATGCAACAAGGTACTGGCTGCTTGCTCAGTAACTGAAGGTGGTGTTTCTTTACCACAGAACTGTAAATCAACTTCACCCCTCCCACCACCACCACCCTAAAATTACTGGTATGCTGCAGTTTATGCCACCCAAATCATGTCCACTTTCAGAGACCCTTTACAAAGACTC